GTGCTACTCTGCAGACGGCCAGAGTATCCTGGCGGGGGGCATGTCCAGGTTTGTGTGCCTTTACCACGTCCGGGAGCAGATCCTGGTGAAGCGGTTTGAGCTCTCCTGCAACCTCTCTCTGGACGCCATGGAGGTGAGCAGTTGTGTGGGCCCTGACATAGGTGCTTCTGACAACCTGGGCCCCAGCCAAGCTGTGAGGTCAGCATCAACATACAGCTGTGACTGGCTGAGCAGGTTCCTGAGCCACATGCCTGCAGTACCTGCCAGGGCCTGGCACTTTCCCCACTTTTAGAGTTTGACCCCACCTGAGCGGGTGGCCAGGGCTGGAGTGCCCAGTGCACTGGCTTGGGCCATACACTAAGCCCTGTAAGGGAAGGAGTCGGGGTGGAAGGTGCTGGTGGGCTGCCTGCACCTGGGCCATCCTTCTGGTTGCAGTGTGGGAGGGCTCTTCCTCCACTGCCCACAGGTGCCTGCCCTCTGCACACCTCAGACTGTGGTCCAAGTCGCTCCTCGTGCCCTGGTCTCACAGGAGTGCAGGGTGTGGACTGAGGAGAACCGAGGCCTCTGGGCAGAGTTGAGGGCCTTCTGTGGTGCCAGAAGCCACCCTCCTGCTCCTGAGAAAGTGTCCACATTTCCCTCGGGGAGCAGCTGCCCTCATGTGCAAGCAGATGTCTGCTGTGGGCGAGGGCCTGTCCCTGTAATGGTGGCAGTGGTGTCCAGTGTGCAAGGGTGAGTGGGGCTCCTACACTTGGCTCCAGTGGCCTTCACCCTGCGCTTTGTGCAGCCAGCCCTGGAGGAAGACTGGGGACCGGGAACAGCACCCCTTGGCCTTGTCCTGTGTTCTCAGGGCCTACTTGTGGTCTGGTCTCCATTCCACTCATGGCTAGAGGCTCATCCACTGTGGGCGGCTTGTCTGCTTGGCACACAAGCAAGAGAGGGAGATGAGGAGAAGGTGTTCATGGCTCTTGCTGTTCTAGGAATTTCTGAATCGAAGAAAGATGACGGAGTTTGGCAACCTGGCGCTCATTGACCAAGATGCCGGGGAAGAGGACGGGGTTGCTATTCCGTTGCCAGGTGTGAAGAAAGGTGAGCAGAGGTCCCCTTCTGTGTTTTGCCTGTCGCCTGGTCTTTCTTGTGGCAGTGTTTCTGCTCTCTTGGTTGGGGCTGCAGTTGACGGAGTCAGCAGTTACTGCATCTTGATGTCTTGCTGGATGGGGGAGGTGCCTGGGGAAGACCCAGTAGGTCGGGTGCTGGTGCCACATCCCTGCCAGGCACAGCTATGCCACTCTGCCCTGTGGGGGTACAGGGTGGATCAGGGATTCCTATGCATCTTCTGATTACTGGGGAGCAATCTGAATGTGCTTGTTCCCCAGTAACTGCAGTTGTTCTTTTCTTCCCAGGTGACATGAGTTCTCGCCACTTTAAACCTGAAATCAGAGTGACTTCACTGCGCTTCTCTCCCACTGGTGAGCCCTGAGTGAAGGGTTGTTGGCCCAACGTGTCATGACCTGTGTTCCCAGGGGAGGTCAGTCAGCGCTGCCCTCAGGCTCTGCACTGCACTCTGTCCCCTACAGGTGGGAATGTGGTGATGAACCCTGCTGCCATATGGTCTCCTTGTCCCTGAGAAGGGACTGCTATTGAGAGCTCCAGCCCCAGGCACATTAAGCTTTGATATGTGGTGGCTCACGGCCATCCTGGGAGGCGGCCTCCTCAGGCTATTAAGCGCACTCAGGCATGCAGGAGGGTCCATCTGGGCCTTTCAGGAACACGGGGTCCCCTTGGGCAGAGCAAGGTGAGGATCATCAGCCAGCGCTTTCCAAAATGGATGAAGCAAAAGGCCAGGTGCAGAACCACTCATGGGTCTTGCATCCTGTGAACCAGAGGACCCCAGGGCCACTTCTGCCCAGCCACCTAGGGGTTTTTTTTGGTAATGGGATTGAACCCAGTGTGCTTAATCATTGAGCCACATTTCCAGTCCGGTTTTAGAGACAGGGTCTCACTGAATTGCTAAGTGCCTTGCTAAGTTTCTGAGGCTGGCTTTGAAATCAACGATCCTCCTGCTTCAGCCTCCACAGTCGCTGGCATGACCGGCATGTACCACCACACCCGCCAGCCTGCTAGTTTTGTAGCTCAGGTTTTCCTGAGACAATCACGTTTGTTCATTCCTGCAACTTGTGATTGTGTCCCAGGCACTGTGCAGCTACAGCAGGGACCATTTGGCTTCTCTCATACTGAAAAGTTTACAGCCTCCTGGTGCAAGCAGAGGGAACAGGCACATGTGTCCTTGCTCACGTGTGCAGGCAGTAGGCCTGGGGTGCCGTCCTCCAGGGTGACCCAGGCAGTTCCTTCCCCAGGGGCAGGGTGGCAAAAGGAAGATGTCCCGGTGCCCTCCTGCACTTCGGTGTTTGGACCGTGAGCATGTATTTAACATCTTGCCTTCCTTTTAAAGATTGAGAAATCTCTTTCACTCTTCATCCCCCAGGGCGCTGCTGGGCAGCCACCAGCACAGAAGGGCTCCTCATCTTCTCCCTGGATGCCCAGATGCTCTTCGACCCATATGAGCTGGACACCAGCATCACCCCTGGGCGGGTACGGGAGGCCCTGCACCAGCAGGAGTTCACTCGGGCCATCCTTATGGCCTTCCGGCTCAACGAGAAGAAGCTGGTACAAGAAGTCCTGGAGGCCGTGCCACGGGAAGACAGTGAGCAGGGGCCTGGTCAGGTGGAAGCTCAGGGGCCCGAGGTGTTGCTCTCTTTGCTACTTTGGTTCGTCACAGAATAAGCGTAGCTTTTCTTTTGCAGTTGAAGTTGTCAGTGCTTCTCTTCCTGAGCTGTATGTAGAAAAGGCACTTGAGTTTTTAGCTTCTTCATTTGAAGTATCTCGTCACCTTGAATTCTACCTCATATGGACACAGAAGTTGCTCATGTCCCATGGACAGAAGCTGAAGCCCAGGTATGCTGGGCTTCCCTGCTGTTGGTGTGACCTTTCACATGGCCAGCTGATCCCGGTGGTGATGGGGAGCTTTGTGTTCAAGAGCAGCATTCACTGGGGCCTGGTGTTGCCCCCCAGTAACCACCGCACTCTGAGGGTGTCTCCTTTCCAGTGCAGGGCGGCTGCTGCCTGCCGTCCAGTTCCTTCAGAAGAGCCTCCAGCGGCACCTGGATGATCTGGCAAAGCTGTACGTGCGGGGCTGGCAGTAGGGTGGGGTTTGAGTTCTTGTCATGGGTTCTGTGCCTGGGACTGCTCCCTGCACCACCTGACCTGGGCACAGTAGGTTCCAGTGTTGGAGAGTGTGCCACCCATGCTGGGTTTGAAGCACAGCTTTGATGCAGCTGGTGCTAAAGGAGCTGAGCCCGAGAAGGGGTGTGCCTGAGGTGCAGCTTGAACCTCCAACCTCAGGGCATTTGTCACAGTCCTAGGACGGGGTTGTCTGTTCTGGATTTGCATGTCTTCTGCATGAGCAGTAGGAGCTGGCTGGTGACAGGGTGCCTGGTGTTGATGATGATAGTTTATCTAAGGGGCTTGGACAGTGCCTGGACACTGAAGGTACTCTGCAAGGCCACCCCTTCTGCTTAGACAACGTGACTGCATCTCCCAGCTTGCCCTGTCAGGATGTCTGCTTCTCTTTGGTGCCCATCTGGGCTGGTGACAGGTCTGTTCCCTGCCCTGTCTGGGTCCCTGGGCCAAGGCTCGAGTCTGGTCCCAGTGGTGTTCTATCCTTGAGCTGTCCCCCGTCTTTATAATGGGGCTCAGAGTCTAGAACAAGCCCTTCCTGCAAATGCCCCTGCTTCCTTGGCATCAAGGCTTCCCTGCAGGAAGGCTGGGCTTTAGGGTGCCATTCCTCATCTGGTGGCTTGTTGCTGATTTGCTGGTGTGCCCCGACTGTGGGTCTGGGGGAGGACCCTGCCTAGCCAGCCCGTTGCCCCGGTGATCCTTCACTGAGTCGGTTTGCTATCTTCCTGGGAGCTGTTGGTGTCAGGAATGTGTGATGTGACCAATTGACTCTCTAAATGACCAGTGCGAGGGCCTGGCAGGGAGGCCGTTCGTTTGGGCAGAACCCAGATCTGGGCAGGGAAAGCAGAGGATCCTGTGGAGCAGGTGGGCCGGGGTGCTGGTGGAGTGGAGCTGATGCCTGTACTGACGTGATGCCCTGTGCCCACAGCTGTGACTGGAACCGCTACAACCTGCGGTATGCTCTGGCCATCTCCAAGCAGCAGGGTGTGAAACGCCCCCTGGACCTGCCGGGAGTTGAGGATGATGGGGGAGCATCCGATGAGGACAGTCTGCACCTGCTGGGAGGGGCCGGAGATGAGCCCACTGCCACTGCAGCTCCCGATTGTCTTGGTTGAGACCTTCCAGAGGGATGGAACCTCTGTCACCTGGCCTAGGACATGGGAGTGCATCCAAAGTGCTGGGATGTTGTCACGGGGTCTCCCTTTTCCGTTGAGAAGCACACAGCCCATCAGGACAGCGAGCCAACCTGCTAGCACCCGGCAGGCACTTGTGTGCCATGGGCCAGGATCCCACAGTGAGGACTTTCTAACGTTGCCTTCACGAAATGTAAATAGGTTCATGTTTGTGGACTCATATAAACTTAATGGGAATTATTTATATTTTTAATACAAAGTTCTAAAGACAAACTTGGGATTAGAAACATGAGATTCTGGAAATGCTTTATCATACTGTTAGTGGGTGTGAGAAGCTGAACGGCACGTGCAGGATGAGGCAGGGAAGGCAGGGCAAGTGGCCGCCTGCCTGGGCCTGTGCTCTGGTGATCTGTCTGCACAGGTCAGGGCAGGGAGCCCCTCAGAACGTTGACATTGGAGGGTATACATGGGGGAGCTCACTCAGAGCTGCTGTGCCAGCCTGCACGGCCACACAGTGCCACCCCCGACTAGCGCAGGACACAGAACAAAATACAGACACAACTTACCTTTACACAAGCTTCAGGACGGCTTCCCTGGCTCTCAGCCTCAGGTTCCCAAAAAGGGAGAGCAAGAGGATGGCGAGAGAGCAAGCGAGCACGTTCGGAAGTCAGCTTTTCTTGGGGGGACACTGTTCTTAGAAGGTTCCATCCATAAAAGGGCAGAAGGGGTAGGATTTCAAGGGAACAGGTGAGTGTAACTCAACGCCAGGGACACTCCTACAAAGAAGACAGTCTTGCTGTCTGAGCTGGGTCAATGCCCAAGCCACAACAAATGTGGTCGGAGACTGGTGCATCAGGCCTGGAAGGCATGGTCATTCAAAGCTGCAGCTCCCCACATATTTCCCCTTCTTTCTTTGAAAAAGCAGGTGACGAGTCACTATCTCGAGTCCCTGGATTCTTGTCCTGAAGGCACAACATCCTATGATTACAACACAAGAGAGAATTAGTAGCAAGGAGAACAGTACAAGGATGTACCATGCAGAGTGTTTAAGAATGCTTCCAGGGTTAAAGCCACTTAACTCTCGAGGTATTTGATCAGTTAAAGAAGTAGGATCCGAAAAATCAGTCTTACTCTTTTGTATGTCTTGGTATATAGTAATGGAACTCCAAAAGATCCAAGCTGCTCTTATTATTCTGCCAAATACCTAACAAATGGTTTCTAGCCTTCTCCCAATCCCATTGGGGAGCACTGTATTTGGCAGCACTAATACACACACAGTCAGCGTGATGTTTGAGCCTTTCCTTGAATTTCAAAGCTGAAAGCTCATTACCAATATTTATGACAGTAGCCTCGAAAGCATTTAGCTTAGTCTCAATCCTTTTATCAATATTTGTTTGATTATGAAGAGCTTTGGAAGTGTTCTTAGTCAAATTATTAAGAAAATCTGCATGTTGAATATTTTGAGATTGGCCACTGAAGCTGTGACCATGGAAGCAATAAATGAAACTAAGGCAACTACTCCGAGTCCAAGAGCACATTAGGTCTCGCTAGCTGGGCTTGTGCTTGTTGTAAGACTTGGAAACCAGCCTCAGTGTACCCTGGCTCTGAAATATTAGCTGGCAATGAGACCAAAGAGGGCTGATGACGTATCGTATCTGCGCTCCTTTCCCTCTACTATATCTGGTGATACAGTGAGTTAAATTACAGTTATTACATGCTACAAGATATCTCTTCTTTAACTTTCACATTTCCAGTAATTAAAGGAGATTGGACACAGGCCATAACAGGAACCCTCCTTACAATTTTTGCCTACAAAGTCTGGTAAAGATTTGTCAGTAAAATGTAAAAAATTGTGAGGCAGCAATTAAGCACCAGACATCTTTCTGAATACCACCTTTTCTGAAGGTCAAGATGTTACTAACAAATTCTCCAGGGGTCATGGCAGCACCCTTGCATAAATGCTTTTTGTCAAATCTAGGAGGTCAGTCTAAAATGTACCCACTATTTCTAGACACCTTTTGCTGTACTGGGAAAGTATTTCTACAATCCATCCACTTATGACAGATGCCAATTTGTATCGCAGAACAGTTAGGACAGTGAGGTATTCATGGACATTCTGCTGAAATGATTGGCTTGTTATGAGAAAGTCCCATTTTAATAACTGATCTGATTTAATGCTTTGAGTCTCTGGGGATAGTATGGTTAGCTGGTCTAGGACCCCAACTGCTGTCTTTTCCTCAAAGGATACTTTTGGACAGCCAGCATGTTTATCATGGGACCAACACCTAGGAAATTGAGCACTATAGCCAGACTAAGTAAATCCAGTCACATGGGTGACAGTAATATGGGTGTCTGTAAATCCTCCCATCATGTATGAGTCATGAGTAAATACTGGGATGGATTCTCCAGTCCACACCACTGGGTGTACAAGAGGTGGATCTGGAAAATATGCCCAACAGGTTTCCCCCTGATTCCCCTTTACCTCGCAGCTCAGTAGAGCTAGTATTGTGACGAGCATCATAGTTAGAGACTTAGTTTTTCCTTGCTGCGGAGTCATTTGCTCAGCCTGCAGCATCAGATTCTTTAGCTGCTTCCACGAGGGTAGCTTCACTGTTTATTGGGTCTCTCTGGGCCATCTTCTTTCCCTTCTTCTTTTGAATTCCTCTTATTGGGGGGAGACAGGTCTGGTGTCTCTGGATTGATCCTCAGTTGTTTCCATCTTTGAATCTTGGTTCTAGGTCCTCCATGCCTGATGGAGAGAAAAGCACTTTCTGGGAAAATGCAGACATGAGCTCTGCCCCCCCAGTCACTGGATCTGGTCCTCTCCATTGGCCAGTCTGCAAATCCTTCCACTAAAGGGCCTATTGCTGTGGAAGACGTGTTGCTCAGCTGCAGTGCGACCTTCTGAGTCACAGTTTAGAAAGTTTAAAACAAACAGAGCATGATTGAGGTTATTTGGGGGGTTCTAGTCCCATCTCCCCCTTTGTTTTTGTGATTATAGCTTAATAGATAATCTGATCATGATCGTAAACTGGCAAATCATAATTAGCTGCCTTTTCAACTTGGCAAAATCTCCAGTTCCAGTTAACATCTCTAGAGGGGCTTCAAAGCCTTGCCTGCAGTTTCTCTCAGCCTGTTCGGTGCAATAATTGGTCCAGTTGGACTGCCACAATCAATAATCGCCCCCCCAAAAGGCATGCTTTAGCCAGTGTAATCCAGTCACGCAGGGGCACAGGCTCACTACATAAAGACTCAAGCAGGCTTTGAACAAATGCTGAATTTAGACTGTAAGTACAGCAAGAATTTTGAGTTCTTTTAGAGTTTTAAAAGGTTCCACAGCGTGCACGTGGACACATTGGTTTTGCTTGTTAACCTGCTCAAAAACTGGGAAAAGCTGAAAACCTGCAATGTCCTCCCCACCTTCAGTGCTGTCCTAAGGCCACACTGGAGTGGCAAAAGTGTGGCTACAGCCAGTACAGAATAGTTATTGAACCTCGTTCTCCTGGAGGAGAGTGGCCAGATCAGAATGGTGGACGCAGGGCCCGTCAAACATAACCTACCAGAGCCCTCCTCCAGCTCAGTCTCACCCTCTGATTGGGAGTCTTCAGACTGTGGCTCAGCTTCATCAGTATCTTCCTGTCCATTTTCCTTCCCTCCATCCTGGATCAGCCTCATGGAAACCCGATCAGGGCTGGTTTCCTCTCTAGCACATGCCCCTACCCATGAGTTCTGCTGGCCGCTGGTGAGTCACTGTCTCTGTCAGGTTCAGCTGTGACTGAGCCTTTGGTCTCACCCCAAGGCCCTCTGTCTGCGGTCTGTGAGCTGCAGACTGGGCGAGAATTCACTCTGCCCTCAGTTCTGCTACAGATAGAGAAAACCTCCTGGGAGCAGTTGTGGGCTGTTTTCTTGCTCCAGTCTTCTAATTGCTTTTTGCAGCCCTTTCAACAAATCTTCCAAAAACCATTGGTCTTTGTCTCAGTTATCAAAAAAGACACATTTCTAGAGCAGTCAAGACTTTTTGAATATTTTCTATTGTACCCCTGGTAGCTTGGCAGAGAGGCAGCCTTCAGGCAATTTTCTACTTGGCCTTTCCCAAGTCATGCAAATCTGGCGAATCTTCTTCACAAAACCACGGGCATATGTCACTGTTTTTAGGAATTGAGCCAGCTGGGCCCTTTTGACCTGTTTTCCTCTCTGGTTAATTAAAGTGTCCAGGATCATCAGATAAATCTCTTTCTGAAGATGTGCAATTGCCAATAATAATTTTTAAACGTCCCTGGCTCTCAATTTGTCTTTTTTCACAACCCCAAAACACCACAATTCTCTGAATTTCTAAAGCATGCTCACCCAAGTCTACCTCCAAATTCACACACACCCCCCAAATGTCCCTGTTCGGGAGCCACCTGCCATGGGCAGCTGAACTAAGGTCACTTGTGTGAATTTGTAGGGACACAGACACAACTTACCTTTACACAAGCTTTAGGACACTTTCCCTGGCTCTTGACCTCAGTCTCCCAAAAAGGGAGAAGAAGAGAAAGTCATGAGAGGCGGGAGAGAGAGAGAGAGATTGAAAGCTTAATTCTTGCAGGGGACACTGTTCTTAGAAGGTTCTATCCATAAATGGGCAGAAGGGGCAGGGCTACAAGGGAACAGGTGAGTGTAACTCAACCCCAGGGGTACACCTACCAAGAAGACAGCCTTGCTATCCGAGCTGGGTCAACACCCAAGCCACAACGAGTGCAGTGATTGGTCAGCCTGGTGCATCAGTATTGGAAGGCATGGTCATTCAGAGTGTCTCCCCACAACACAGAAGGGGACACCATTCCCCCATGCAGTGCTTCACCCCTGCAGCATATGTGTGCTGTCTACCAGGACCAAACAGCCTCTTTACCAGCAGTGAGACCCAGGTCAGTGGATGGTGCACCCAAGCCACCTCTTCTAGTTGCTGGAGCTGATAACATGCCCACCTGCCTCCAGCTGGTGCCACACCACAGGTTGGGGAAGATGGCTCATGTGACACCCAGTGTGCTGGGAGCTGCTACCACCAGACCATCATTAGACTCACAGGGTGTTCCAACCCAAGTGCTTCAGCCACCTGCACTTACACTGAAGCTTGCAGACTAGAAACAAAGCGCTCAGGCCTGGTAAGAGTGGGTTTGCTCCTATATGATCTCTGCAACAGACTGGAAAATAGGGTCCCTTGCTATTACCTGCCCCATATAGGATTTCTAGGCTCCCTCCTCACCTGAGGCTTTTGGTGATATCCATGTCCAGTGACTAGCTGAGCAGTGCTCTGGGTGACATGCTAGAGGTGGAGCTCAGCAGTAGGGCCCAGGAACAAGCAGATACCACCAGCGGGGCGGCCTAAAGCCGGCGGAGCAGCGCTCCCAGGGCCACTGCGCAGGCGCGAGCTCAGAGGTGTGGAGCGCGAAGGAGCTTGGCCACTGCGCAGGCGCGCTCGGGATCCGCCCTACTGCGCAGGGCTCTGCCGCGCGTGACCCGCCGACCCTGAAGTCTCTGCGCTGTAATGGCGGCCTTGAGGGCCCTAGTGGCCCCGAGGCTGGGGGTCGCCTCCGCGTTTGCGCCGTTCCCCGAGCTCCTGCGGCCGCTGTCTCTCTGTGGGCTGGCCCCCTCCCCGCGCGCGGCCCTCCACGGCTCGGCGCCGCGCCCCGGGGCCAGGGTCGCGCTGGTGAGTGCGGCTCCGCCGGCCGAGCTCGCCCCCTGCCCTGCACGGTCCCGGCCGGCCGAGC